ATCAGGAAGCCGGGCAGCCAGTCATTACACGCTGCCCGGCCAATCAGGAAGCTGGGCAGCATGTAATGACTGGCTGCCCGGCTTCCTGATACCGGAAGTATCGGGCTAGGCATCGGAGCGTTTGGGTGAGTATCAGTATCGGTTCATCCCTAATTAATACGCTTTTTTGTGCTTTAAAAAAAATAGCGCAGTGATGTGGCATGGGGGAAGGGACACACGGACTCGGTAAATACCTTTTATAGTTACAAGTCTGCTTTAAAACAAGCTGATAACATTATTTTATATTTTGTATCTATTTTTACAATGTATTATGTAGATATCTTTCTTTACACATAAACATATGGCTATAGAGAAAGCACAGCAGGCGCACCGTGCTTTAAGACTCATTTTGTCTTGACTGAAACCTCCTACTGAGCCCTTTCATAAAGCATGAGTCGCTGCTATGGGGAATTTATCAAAAATTGAGCATCTGTGCATGGCAACCGTTCAGCTCCTGAGTTTTATTTGCAAAGCTTAACTGAACAAACTGATGAGGGAAGCTGATTGGTTACTATGTACAACTGCTCCAGATTCTCTCTGCTTTTAGTTTTGATAAATTCCCTTCATTGAGTTCTGTAAAGAGAAGGACTCCAGCAGAGCTGAAAAAGATACAATGCTAATGGTGTGAAATGTGGACTAGAGCTCCCCCTGGTGGTTAGATAGAGAATTGTATTGTAGTCAAATGTATCTAAAGCCAAAACCTTTTATTTGTTTTACAGTTTTGGATAGGGAGGTGAGGGTTTAGAACAGAATGTCATTGGTTTATTGCTGTCTGTGTACCCGCTGCAGAGATACACTTTCTTTATTTGTCTTGGTGACCATTGTTACCGGGATTTAAAGCAAGACAAACGTTTTGCTTTCAGTTTACAACATTTACCTGACTGGAAAATACAATATTTATTAAATTGTTACTTTTTAGGTTTCACTGTAATAAACAAAGAAAGAACATTTGTACACAACCTCTTTATGTCCTTACATCCCTTTCATTGCTGTCCATTGCAGTGTTCCACCTCTCCAGGAAGGTGACCACCGTGGTTCCCGAGAGCTGCCTCCTCATCATCCTCGGTCTGGCCCTAGGAGGGATCGTCCTGGCCATAGCCCAGAGGGCCGAGTTCCAGCTGGAGCCAAGCTTGTTCTTCCTCTTTCTCCTGCCCCCCATCGTCTTGGACTCCGGCTACTTCATGCCCAGCCGTCTCTTCTTTGATAACATCGGAGCCATCCTGATGTACGCCGTGGTGGGCACCATCTGGAACTCCTTTGCAACGGGGACTGCGCTTTGGGGGGTTAAGCTCCTGGGCCTCATGGGTAAGTGTCAGGATTATTTAAAGTGTTTCTGGCATTTGTTATCATATTTACAGCACGCTGATCATGCTAATGTACATGAACCGCTGAGCGGAAAATTATTTTAGGAGTTCCCTGAGGAACTCAAAGGTTCTTCTAGGTTTCCGAGGTTCTTCTAGGGCAGAGATAGGCAAACCCTAGCTGTGGTGAAACTACCAATCCCATCATGCATCTGCCTCTGGGAATCTTGCCTGTGGCTGTCAGAGTCTTGCAATACCTGATGGCAGGGCAGTTCCTACCTTATTCGCTGCCTTAGGCAGCCAGGAGAAGGGATAGGGATGGCCGGACAAGCTGTCAGCCAGGCGAAAGGGAGCTGTCAGCCAGGCGAAAGGGAGCTGTCAGCCGTGCAAAAGGGGGCGGCCAGCTGAGCTGTCAGCCAGGCAAAAGGGGGAGGCCAGCCGAGTTGTCAGCCAGGCGAAAGGGGGTGGCCAGCCAAGCGAAAGGGGCGGCCAGCCAAGCTGTCAGCTGGGGGCAAAAGGGGGCGGCCGGCTAAGCTGTTAGCTGGGCAGGAGGTGGCAGTCAACCGATTAGTTGGCCGGGTGGGTGGCAGCTGGCGGCCGAGCTGTCAGCCAAGGAGGGGGTGGAGGGGCAGTTGGTTGGCCGTGCTGCCA